CATGCCAAGGCTTAAAGCAGCAACAACGCTACACATAAAAACTGATGATGGTGGAAAAATACACCGAAACGTATTTTGTTTGATAAATAGAGACAATAAATGACTGAAACCCAGGAATGAATTTGATCTGGAATTGAAACACAGTCAGGAAAGTATATACAATTCTTAACAGCTTTTTGCAAGCTGGCGCCCCATCCTCCATTAATCCTCAAGTTCACTACACTGTCGCAATCTACCGCCCTAAATGCCATTTCCTGCTATTTCCCATCTAAGAATGCGATTATCGACCGATTTTGTCTACTGTCAGTAGCAAACTGCATTCACAGCCTTTTTCGAAAAAAAAAGACACCGAACTACAGAATAACCTTGATCATTTAATCATTAAATTGTTCGCCGTTTCGATGATTCATCGCCCTGCTCTTGCTTGGCAGGTTGTTTTCTGTTGATATTTTTGTAGAAAGTTCCTATAATATATTCGTAGAAATCCCTTAAAACTGAAACTGTTGCTCAACTTCCGAACGATGAAAGAATCGAACGACATTTCAACTAATTAAAAACGCCCTTTAAAAGTTCTGATTTCAAGAATGCAACAAGCGCAATTCGAGGTGCGGCGCAGTAAGGTGCGATGAGATACGCACCAACTCACAGCGCGCCATCAACTCAAAAGCGCAACTCAACACAGTGTTACCCAGGCCTGTAACAAGTGGAGTGATTGAGATCGTGATGATGATCACATATATTGCAAGTAAAAATACACACTGCTGTTTTGCCAAGCGGATAAAAGCTCTGATGTAACCAGGTCAAATATTATCGCTTCAACACTGTTTTAGTTTGCATTCAATTACTACTCATGCCTTGCTTTTATTTAACATACTGATAAGCCAATCAGACGGAAAAATCTGATCATCCAACCCATAGAGTTGCACTTTTATTCATCGATCATTCACAAGAAAAAAACCGGCAGCGAATTATTGCCGAACGCTTCACCCTCGCCGACCCCCGATGATCAAATCAGCACTTTTCTCTATCTCTTTGTCAGTGTTATTTCATTATTTTCTGTTCCTCATCGCTCCTTGCGTCTTAATGGTCTACTGTCTATCGTACTTACTACTAATATCCTAATTCTGATGCTTTCAAGGCAGATTATCTAATGATATTTGCGGGCCCCTGGTGTTAATTGCTTCATTAAACCCAGTTTAACACAAGTTTTAATTTGCGAAATAAATAAACAGATATTGTTGACGCTTGCTTGAGGTTAGAGGGACCATTTCATTAACACATCTTTTTTCGGGTTCCTTAAATCTATCAATGACCAACCAGCCATCAATGAATTAATGGAGATTTTGAACAGTTTAGAATACATTTGGGTTGAAAACGAAAATACACAGTATAAAGCAAGATTAAGGCAGGCTGGCTTGCACTAGTGAAAAACCACAGCACGAAAAACCGTAATTAAGCGAAATAAAACTGTTTTCGTAACACATCTCAGCATGTGGTGATGTGGATTTAACACTCGCATATGGCTATGATTAGGATGGAAGTAACCGCATAAGCAAGTTTTTTTCAATTAAGGCTTTTTTGCCAATTGAAATGTTTAACGTTGAAAAACTTAGTATGACTAGAATTAAATTAGGCCGATGTCTATTTTGCTACAAAAAAGGTCGTTTGCACTCGCAAAATATCAGTTAGGAAGATGAAATCTTAAACAAAAATAGAGTATAAA